AAACAAAAACAAAAACAAAAAACCCCCCCATGCTTTATGGAAAATTTCTGTTGTGTCTATGTTCAGCTTATGTTATGGCTTCAAAGTCCAGGCTAATTTCAGACACTCAAACATCTGTTAGCTTTGCCTGGATTCTGTGTACCTCCCCTGCCCAGGATAAAAATATTTACATGGAGACAATTTCTGGGTGAGAAAGATCCCTTCTCCCAAGTTTTCTGGACAAAAATCTAAAAGCCCATTAATAACAAGCCAAAGATTTTCCCCTAAATTTCAGAGGGAGGCTTCTGGGCACCATCTTAACAACTGAGGTGGGAAGAGTTTCCCTGTCTTCAACACCTGCCCAGCCCTCTGGTCTTGGAGGCTGGGATGGATGCAAGGTGAGATCCCTTGAGTTCCAGTGGCTCCATGAAGGCAGAGAAGGTACCAGATGACTCAGAGCCAGCCTAGCTCGTTGGGTGGACTCAGAAATAGGAAACAGTGGGAGGGAAGAAGGAAGTGGTTAAAAGGTACTTCCTGTGACTTGGAAGATGGGTGGGAACATGATCAGCCCTAGGAGATGGGGATGGGGGTTGGGACTGAGGGCTACGCCTGTGCACTTCTCCCCAGGAAACGGTCACACACGCTCTCACCAGGATCATGACCACAGGTAACATTTAGTCAGAGCTCACCACCCACTGTGTTAAGGCTTACGTGACGATTACTACAAAGATTTACATACACACGTTATATCATGGTCTCCTCACAACACACCTAAGAGGTAATCATGACCACAGGTAACATTTAGTCAGAGCTCACCACCCACTGTGTTAAGGCTTACGTGACAATTACTACAAAGATTTACATACACACGTTATATCATGGTCTCCTCACAACACACCTAAGAGGTGGGCACTTCATTGTTCCCATTTTGCAGGTGAGGAAACCAAGGTTCAGAGAGGATACTTGGCTTGGCCAAGATTACACAGCAGAGAGTGGTACAGGAAGCTGGGCTGGGTGATTACAATTTCTCTCAGAGGCTGGGTGGCCACCGGCTTCCTTGCTTCTCTTGAACAAATCTTCGCCACCACTTTCTGCTCTTCGGCGTCAGTGTGGGTAGAGAATGGGAGTGGGCAGGGGGAATGAGGGAAGAGGTGAGGTGTCAACAGGTACGGATGGGCAGCGAAGATTTGAGCAGTGCAGGTGGAGAGCCCAGCCAGCTGGGGAGGAAGGGCGGGAGTCTGAGGAAAAGGACAGATGATGAAGGGGTCTCTGGGTGTATGGATCAGTTGGAGCGTATGGTTTTCTCGATCCAGGGGATGTATTTGCAGATCTGGGTGTAGACAGCTGGATGCTGGACAGAGCCACAGGGATAAACGCCCCATGAAAGAATGCCCTGCAGGGTCTCATCGCAGACCAGGGGTCCACCTGAGTCACTCTGGGAGTGGGAGGAAGGAGAGATCAAATGAATATGCCAATGTGAGAGCTACCACTTTGGGGTCTGGGAGAGTGATGGGGAAGGCAGGGGCTGGGGCAGGGTTGGGTTGGATTGGGATTAAGATGAGGTTGGGGTGGGGTTGGAATTAGGTATCAGCTTGGAGGGTGGGTTGGGGGTGGGGATGGAGGTGGACTTGGGGTCATGAAATTTGGATTGGGAGATGAAAATGGAGATGTGTTGGGATTATAGTTGGGATTGTAGTTCACGGTGAGTGAGAGGATGGAGATGGATCTGGAGACAGGGATGGTGTAGAGGTTTAGGAATGGTTTGAGGATGGGAATGGGGTTAAGGATAGGAATGAGGAGGGGGTTAGGACTAGGGATGGGTTGGGGTTTGGGAATGGAGTTGGGGGCAGGGGTGGGTCATCTCTTTTCTCATAACCTCCTGTTCTCCCTCCCATGAGTCAGAGACCCTCCGTGGCCAATCCCTACCTGGCAAGGGTCCTGGCCCTGGTCCAGTCCAGCACACATCATGTTGTTGGTGACCACACCAGGGTAGAAGACCTCACACTCTTTAGGGCTCAGGATAGTGACCCCGGAGCAGCTCAGGCCCTTGTTGTACTTCACTGATGGGAAAATATGCTAGGTAATCCCCGGGTCCAGCCCCAATCCCCTGGGACCTAGGAGTCCAGACGCAAGCCTGTTCTGATCCCAGATCCCAGGCCCCCAGCCCCTCCTCCCTCAGACTTAGGAGTTCAGGCTCCCAGCCTCTTCCTCCCTGAGATACAAGCCTCAGCGCCCCCTGCTCTTGCCTCTTTTGGTGGCCGTGGTACCCCACCCAGCAACATGGCACTGGTCTCCAGGCTGGGCACAGCGATAGGGCAGCCGCAGGGCCTGGATGCGAGGTCCCAGCACAGCAGGCCTGGCCAGCTTCAGCAGCATGAGATCGTGCTCATCTGTGCGCCTTGGCAGGATGGGGCCTGAGCCCTGGCGGTACTTGGGGTGGATAACAGGATGAGTGGTTCTGCGGAGCTGCTCGCCCTGGAGAAGCAGCAGGTGGTCATCCCCGATTCGAGCCCACAGTGGCCTGGGGGAGGGAAGAGCCATATGGAGGCAAAACCTTCATTGGGACTGGATCTGGACTCTGAGTCCCTTAGAAGGAAGGTGCAGGCAGTGGGGTGGGGGCAGACACCTGGGTCCTGAAATTGGAGGGGTTTAAGGGAAGAGGGGTTTTGAGTCTGAAGGAAGAGTGGGCTGGGGGGAGAAGGCAGTTGCGAATCTGGATTCCTGGACACAGGGAGCAGGAATCAGGTCTTTGAGCTCTTGGGTTATGCTGAAGTTGAGGTCTGGGGCCTGGACTCCTGGGTAAACCTACCCCTTCCTTTCTGTATAATGACATTCAGCTCTTCCTCCCTCAGTGGGGACTCATGAGGTGAACGTTTTCTTAGTTCTAAATTCCTGACCACACCAGACCCTGACTTCTGTCTCTTGCATACAGCCAACTACTCCTAAATGGAACCCAAGGAAGATGAGCTGGACAGGAGTGATGGGACCAGAAACACTGAGAAGGATCACACCGCCCCCTGGCGGCACTGCACAAGCCCCCGCCTCTCCTCCTACAGGAAGCCCTCCACGACTGACCCCACCTTGAGCTGAGTTCCAAGGGCCCCAACCCTCATAGCCCCTCCGTGGCGTCCTCGAGGGGCTCCCCATACTTGTTGTTCACGCAGTGCGCGGCCGTGAGCACCCAACTTTGGTCCACCAGGACGCCCGCGCAGTGGAACGAGAGGCCATTGAAGAGGGAGACGTGCCAGGGCTGCGAGCCGCGCGCGCACGGGGCGCCGGAAGCCGCAAGGTCCGAGCCAGTGCCGTTTATAGGGAGCAGCGCCTCCGCGGCTAGAGAAAGAAAGGGACGCAGGGATCAGAGCAGGCAGGGTAAGGGCTGGGTTTGGGTCGGAGTGGGGCCACGGAACCAGGCTGCGGGGGGCCACAGCCGGAACAGCAAGGAGGAGAGAATTGGGGGTCCCACGTGAACTGAATGGAAGCTGGCGGAGAAAAAAGGCGTGAAAGTGGAAGGAGGCGGGGACAGGGTGGAGTGGAGTAAGGAGACAGAACGGTGTGGGTCTGCAGGGACTGAACGCAGCGCGCCTAGAAGGGAGCTGGGTTAGACAGCGGCCGGGTGGCAGGGGGGAACGCGGAGGCGGGGCGGTAAGGGGCGGAGGTAGAACGCGGAGGGTCGGGAAGGGGCGGGGCTAGCGGGGCGGAGATAGAACGAGGAGGGTCGGGAAGGGGCGGGGCCAGAGCCCGGCGGGGCGGTAGGGGGCGGAGCCCGGCGGGGCGGTAGGGGGCGGAGGTAGAACGCGGAGGGTCATAAGGCGGCCTGGCTGGAATGTGCGCGTTGATCAGGGAGCGGGGTTAGAACGTAGCTGTGGGGAAGGGGCGGGGACATGCCGAAACGGGATTAAAAAGCGGCGTGGGCAAAAAGGTGTAAGGCAAGACTGGATAAAATAGGCCGGAGTAAGAAGAGGCGGAGTAAGGGGAGGAGAAGGAATAAACGGGGCGAGCAAAGGCTAGTAGCGATCCAAGCGGCGTAAAGGGCATGGGGCCTGAATTGGGCGGGACGCGAGCGAGACAGCGGCGGGGAGGGGGCCGCTGATTTCGGGTGAGCCCGGCTCCGGATCGCTGGATGCGTGCTGCGGTCGGGAGGAGAGGCGGGCAGGGCTGGTGATAAGAGCGCACTCTCCTCCTGTCCGTCGACTCACCCCAGAGTTGCGCCATCAGCAGAGGCAGCAGCAGCTTCACCAGGGCCCGGGCGCCGGAGGCGGCGGAGAGGTGGAGGTGCGGGGGTCTCATGGCCAGGACCCGGGCTGGGGTGCGGGAGGAGGGTTAAAACCGATGCCCTGTCTGAGACCGTCACCTCGTCGTGCCCATCCGCCCAAGACTGGGCCACCCTAGCCTGCCGGGACTCGTTTAACCTTAGGCCGACAACCGCAGGGGCGGGCGGGCGTGCGGTTCGGGCCGGGACATCGGTAATGGGCGCAATTACACTGATGACGCCCCTCGTCGCGCCCTCCCGTCCTCCCCACGCCCGGTGGAGCGCTGTCCAGGCCGGGCTATCCCGGCTGCCAGCCACGCCAAGTGCGGAGTTTCACCCTCCTTTGCAAGTAGGGTTGGGGTCCGAGGATCAAAGCCAGCGGGAGCATCTTTCTGAGCAGCGGGGGTCTTCTGCGTCCCTCAGAGAGGAAAACCGAGGCTCAAACGACTCCTGCCCGTGGCCCGAGGGTCCCCACCCATCCTTTCGCCATCCGCCCCAACCAGGGTGGGGTGCATCCCGCTTCACCTGGGAGTAGTCGATAGGAAGGAGGGAGGAAACCCAGAAGTGCCTCTGCCCTGCCTTGTGGGCCGATGAATCCTCTGCCCAGGGACCCCTGTCCAGACCTTCCCTTTTAACCCCGAAGAGCCCGGAAGCTTCCCCACCCTCCCCGCTCAAGGGTTTACTCCCTCCCTTTCCCCCTCCCTAATTATGCCGTGGGTGGGGTTGGCACCCAACCTCGGTCCCAGATTCCTGCTCTGGGAGGGGCCCTGGAATACAGGCTTCCCCAGTATCTGAAATACTTTTTTTGAAGCTGGATTCCATGGGGGTTTCCCGGGTCCCCTGTTCCAGGTGGGGATGGGGGGAGAGTGTACCATTAACACAGGGAGCCTAGGGGTGGGGGGAAGAGCGGTGATTGCGATAATGATTGAGAGAGAGGAAATAAACAGCGAAATGCATGCCTAGAGTGACAAGCCGGAATGCGTAGTAGGAAAGAGGCAGATAAAGTAGATTGAAGGAAAGAGTAGGAGAGACGGAGACTGAATCCGAAAGGGAGACTGTGATAAGCCGAGGCTAAAAGATAGAGACGGAGGGAAGGGGGAGGGGAGAGGAGGGGGGAGGGGGAGAGAGAAAGAGAGAAACAGGAAAAGAGGGAAACTTGAAGACAGAAAGGGAGAAGAGAGAGAACAAGAGGCAGAGAGAGGGCTGCTCTGTGGCTCGAGCCCACCCTGCAGCTGGAGCGGTGGGTTCTGTGCGTCCCAGGTGTCTGCATGTTGGGGGTATGGCTCTTCATCATACCTGCGTGTGGCCATTTCATACCCTCACTGCCATCTGCGTGTACTCCAGGTAACACCCAGGCCTGTGAACCACAGGAGGCCGAGGCTGCAAGGGGCATCACCATCACCTCAGCCAACTCCCTCATTTCAAGTGAGGAATGGGAGGCTCAGAGAGGGCAGTGAGTCACAGGAAGTCACACAGCAAGGGCACCAAACAACCGGGAGGCCCTAGTTCCAGCTCTTGGCTTTTATTCCTCATGCCAGTTACCTCCCATGAAAGGTGAGCAGAAGGTTGAAAAAGACCCTCGGTTTTGGATTATTTGTGGGACATCTCCAGCGAGAACTGAATTAACTTCAGAGGTTGTCCAGCTCAGTGCTGTCCAATAGAACTTGCTGCAATGATGGAAATGTTCTGTCTGTGCTATCGAATACAGCAGCCACCAGCCACGTGTGGCTGTTGAGCATTTGAAATGTGGCAAGTGTGACAGAGGAATTACAGGTCTGATTCTATGTAATTCCATTATATATCTATTAAATGTGGCTAATGGCTACCGTATTGGCTAGCACAGGTCTCAATTAACTACCTCTCATGGAAGATGAAAAAAAACAGTGATAGTTTCCTCTTGCTGTGTCTTACTATGTGCAGGCTGACTGACTTACTGTGCTGTTATACCTTTACATGCACAATTTTACAGGTGAGGAAACTAACTGAGCCTTAATCAAGGCAGTATCGCTTGGTAGTTGAGTTCACCTTGCTTCAGATCCTTCCTCTTCTACTTACTGGCTGTGTAGCCATGAGCAAGTGACTTCATAGCTCTGTGCCTCAGTTTCCTCATCTGTAAATGGGTATAATAATAGTACCAACTTCGTAGGGTTTTGTGAAGATTAATTGATACATTTAAAAGGCATTGGACTAGGGTTTGGCTCATAGTAAGCAGTCAATAGATTCATTTATTCAAATAGTAAATATTTATTGAAATTTTGGTGTATGCCAGTAACTATCTTTGGGGCTGGGGATATTACAGTGAAGAAAATAGCTCTTATCATTCCCAGAGTCACAAGTTAGTTTGAGTCAGGATTTGAATCCAGGTCTCACTGATTCCAAACCCCAAGTTGATTATTAAGCGATAGCATCTCCTGTAGTAAAGGAGGCCCAAAGAAAGTTCATAAAGGGGTCCTGCTTAGGGTTTTTTATTAGCAGAATGAACAAGAATCAAATCGCCAAATAGTTTGGTGGTGTTAGCCCGTAGTGAGTGGATCCTGTCTAATTGTTCTTCATAGTCTCCTGGATCCAATCCACATATTTGCAGACTTTTGTGTAGACACCGGGCTTTCTGGTGACAGCACATGGATCCTGGCCCCAGGAGATAATGCCTTGAAGAGACCCATTACAGACCAGAGGGCCCCCAGAATCGCCCTGGGCATGGAGAGAGAGAACCAGTCAGAGAACACGGTTGGTCATGATGTTAGGAAGAAGGTGGAGATAGATGGTGTTGGAAGCAGGATAGAGATTGAGGATGGGATTGGCAATTGGATTGGCAATAGGCTTAGGGATGAGGTTGGGATTATGGGTGGGAATAAGGGTGGGGTTAAGGTTAAAAATGGGTTTGGTTTTGGGAGAGCGTGGTGCTGATCACACCAGTGTCAGGGGTTTGGATCCCCATACTGGCCAGCCACCAAAAATACCGAAAAACAAAAAACAGGAAATAGACACACACAAAACACAAAAACAGAAAAAAAGAAAATGGGTTTGGGGATGGTTGGGGTTGGAAATGGGGGTGGGAATGGGGATGGAGCTGGGGATCCTGTTCAGGTTAGAAATGGGAACTGGGGATGAAGATGGACTTGGGGTTGCAGGGGGCGGTGGGGCTGGGGTTGGGGATGAAATTGTGGATGTCAATGAAGATGTAATTGAGGTTGAACATGGGGATGAGGATGTGGTTGGAGATCCAGGCCCTGCCTTCTGACCTGGCAGGAGTCCTTGTTCCCTTCCTGAACACTGGCGCACACCATGGTATCTGTGACGTTACCAGGATAGGCGTTCTCACACTCCTTGTGCTCCATGATGGAGATGTTGGCACATCGCAAGGTATGGGGCAGGTGCACTGTGGAAACAGCGTGAGGGGTTTGAGGAATTAGCCTCTCGTCCCCCTCGCCCCACTGCAGTGCTGTAACCCAGCACCTGGGAGAATCCCTGTCCTGCTTGCTTGCAGCCAACTCATCTCTCTGCTTATAACAATGGCAATAGTAATGCTGTTGAGTAAATTCTTTATGCCAATTGCCCTATATACATTATCTCTGATCCAATGTGGGTAGGCAGGTGTGATTATTCTCATTTTGTAGAGGAAAAAAACCAAGGTTCAGAGAGGTGAAGTCACTTGACTAAGGTCCTACACCTGGAAAGTTGCGGCTCTGGGATTGCACATCATGTCTGTCTGACTTTGAAGTCCACCCTCCCCAGCCCTGACCTTTTCCATTCTTCCTTTCAATTTATCACACCTTGAAACGCTCTGGTATCCTTCTCTTGCATCACTATGAATCTCATCTTTGAAGGTTCCTTGGGTCCCCTGTGTCCTTCCACAATCATGACCATCCCTCCTCCCTACCCTCACCCCCCCAATGCCCTAGCCATGTTCCCTTCTGGAGCCCCTACACTGGGGGCTGGATGTGGTGCCCCAGCCAGAAATGAGGCAGCGGGTGCCAGCGGTGACACAGTGTGACGACAGAGTGAGGGGTCTCACGGCCCGGGTGATAAAGGCTGGTGCTGCCATTTTCACCAGCATGATGTCATTGCGGTGGTCTTTGTTTGGGAGGCTGTTGTTGAAGCCCGGGTGTGGGAAGGACTCGGTGGCCATGCGGGTCTGCTCACAGACATCCCGCTGCTGGAGGTTGTGATCCCCCAGGTGAACTATGTAGCTGCTGAAGTGGGAGAGATGGTGGTCAGAGATGGAAAGGTAGGGAGAGACATGAGGTGGGGGCCAGGGAGAGAGATGAAAAACACATTCGAGGATGAAGAAACATAGCTCCACTTCCAATCTCATCTCCATCTCCCACTGAAGCCCTCTTCCAAGCCATATCCCCAACCCAACACTCAAACCCATTCCCAAGACGATCCCAGTTCCAATGTCATCCATCCTCCATCTTTAACCCCAGCTCATCCCCATCATCTAACACTCCCCTTTCCCCATCCCTGCCCCCCACCCCTGTGCACATTCTCCCTATCCCCAACCCCCTCTCCATCCATCTCTCCCTCTCCAGCCCCCTCCCGGCCCCCGCACCCACGGCTTGCGGCAGTGGGCTGCTGTCAGGAGCCATTTGGGGTCGATGAGCGTTGCCCCACAGAGCAGCCGTGTCTTCTCGAACAGAGCCACCTGCCAGGGCTGGGAATGAGGAGGGCACTCGTACCCCTTGATGATCCTGGTCTCTCCCATTACATGCCCTGGAGGGGGTTGGAGCAAAAGAGGGGGCTCAGGCAGGAGAGGAGGTAGGCCAGGAGGACTCCCAGAAACAGGGGTGGGGAGGAGAGAGAGGGTGGGTGGTCTGGGCCCTGGTCTGTGACCCACTAGGGTGTGCTGTACTCGTATGGATGGTCAGGCATTAGAGGACTGAAACACCTCCGTGATTCCAATGGGTAGGTCAGGAGCTGCTGTTCTGAGCTATTTGAGTGATACCCCACCACGCCAGCTTCCCTAGCCCCTCCCCGGGACCTCCTTGACCTCTCCTCCTTCTGGTGTCTAAAGGGATTATGCCTGGTATAGCAAGAGACATCCAGCACCTCCTTATGGCTGGTCTCTGTTCAGATGCCATATGGGTTGTTTTATATTTTGAGTATCAGCCCTGTCAATGGCCAGGCACAGAGTTGGGGGATTCTAGAGATCTTAGAGGGAGGTCCCTGCCCTTCCCCATCTCCCACCGTACCTGTCACCAGAGCAAGTGTGATGAATCGCAGAATCGTCATGGCCTGGAGCGGGGAAGGGCCGGCCCCAGGTTCCTCTGTGAACAAGGAAGGACACAGGGGCCAAATCACTTTATGGGAAGACTGGGGGCTGGCTCATGCTCTCTCCTCTCCCCCACACCCACTCTGGCTCCCCACTTCTCCCCACCCATGGCTGATTCCTCCAGAGAGAAACAAGGTTTGAAGAATCCCCTCGTTCTCACAGCACCCTGACCTCCAAACATTTAAAATAAATCTTAGGTATGGAGGGTGGCCTTGGAGGGGGCTGATTGCAGCTAGAAGTTTCTGGTATGCCAAGAAGAATGTGGAAGTTGCTTTTTAAGTTAGCCACAGGACCTCCTAGGCACATTTTGGAGAATGTTTTTCTTCCTGTTCACCTGAGACCCGACCAGGTCGCAGAAGCTTGGGGTGGGAGGACAAGGGGAGCTGGGCCCCGCTGGTAATCATCCCATTTTTGTTGTCTCAACAGCAGGGTGATATGGAGTCTTGAGGTCTGCCCTGGATGAAGTAGGGGACTCAGCCTGAGTCAATGTCCTGGTCCCCCTCCTTGCTAAATCCCTGCCCCTCTGAAGGACAGCCGGACAGGGCTGGGTGGGGCTGGTCAAGGGGAGGGCCAGTGCCCTCAGCTGCCCTCAGCTGCCCTGGCCAGCGGGTGTGAAGGGCGGAGGGCTGGACTTGGCTACCAAAGCTAGAGTCAGAGTTCATCAAGACTAGGGGCAGCTGTTGAGAGTTGAGAGAGCCAGAGAGAGGCAGAGAACCCCGACCCAAGCAGAAAAGGACAGAGCAGAGGGAGAAATGGGTGCCTTGCCAGGCAGAAGAGGACTCCTGTCTTCCGGAGGACAGGCGCGTGGATGGGGGCCTCCCCCTCCCTCCTGGACTCACAGGCTCTGGCTGGGGCTCTGCGGCCCGGCAGTGGCAGCTGAAGCAGGCTGGGTTGAAGAGAGAGGCAGCAGGCAGGCGGGCAGGAGGGGTGGCCCTGGGCGGGCGGGCCCGGGAAGACTGGCCTCCAAGCCCTGCCTTATCGCCCTGGGGGCGGGGTGTGTGGGGGACCTCCCCGGCTGGCCCTGGGCCCCTGAGCGGTGCACGGCCCTCCTGCCTCCGTCTGCTCTCCAAGCCCGTCTTCCTCCTCCCTCCGTTTCCCTGCATGTCTGTGTTCGTCTGTCTGTTGGTCTCCATTCTTCCCCTTCCTGCCTTCTCTCTGAATCTTTTTCTCTTTATCTCTGTCGTTTTCTGCTGTAACTTTTCTTTTTGTCTCTATGTTTCTGTCCCTAAGTGTCTATCTGTCTATCTTTGTCCCTTTATCTCCGCTGTTCTCTCTCAGTCCCTTTCTGCATGTCCCCGTCTCTGATTCTTTCCCCCTTTGTATCTCTCACTTCATCTCGGTCTTGCAGTCTCTCTTTCTCGCTCCCCCTCCACCTCTGTCTCTAAATCCCTTTCCTTCCATCCGATCTCCCAGTCTGTCTGTCTGTCCTCCTGAGCTGGCCCCTCCTTCCCCGCAGCCCGAGCCCAGGTGGGCCCTTGTCCTCCTCTGGGCCCCTCCCTTCTCCTTTCCAAGGGGGCGGGGACTGAGATGTCTCAGAGCTGGGGCTGCTGCCAGGCTAAGGGGCAGGACAGGAGGGTGGGGGAGGCAGGGAGGCAGGTCGGAGCCTGTGGGAGCTGAGGCCCAGGAAAAAGAAAGGAATCCTCTGTGGAGGCCTCAAGCCTCAGGGCTCGTCTGGGGCCTCACTTCTCTGCTGGCCCTTTCCTCCTCTCCCCTCTCCCTACCTCCCTGCCCTCTGAACCCAGTTGTGGCACTTACTCGCTGCTATGTGACCTCCGCCCGATGACTTCCAGTCTCACAGCCATCTCGATTTCCTCATCTGCAAACCCCGAGTGCAAATTCCTACTTCTCCCAGCTTGTTTGTTTCTAGTGAAGTCTCTTCCCTCCCTCAGTTTTCCTCTCCTTTCTCCCTTAACCAGATGTGGAACAAGGCGGGGTAGGCCCAGGTTCTGATAGCAGTCAGCGCTGGCCTTAAAGAACCCCGGTTCTGCCTCTTCCTGACACTAGGACTACCACTGTGACGTGGGATGAGGAGCTCCACCCCTGTAAGGCTCAGTTTCTTCATCTGAGAGATGGGGGTGACAGCCCTGCCTGGGGGGGAGTGGGTTGGGATAAGGCCTTCGGTAGAGCGTGGAAGGAGCCTAGCACACTGCGGCACAGTGAATGTTCCTCCTGCTGCTATGATCACCCCTCACTCCCTCCCGCCTGCAATTCCCCTTAAATGCCTTTGGGAGAAGATGTTATCTTCCTTCCAGAAAGGGTGGTGGAAACAGACCGGCGTGGGCAGGATCATTTTAAGACATAGGCTGGGTCTTCTTGCTTTCCAAGGTTGTGACCAACCCTCAGTCATTGCAGACATATTAAAACAAACCCACATCCCACATTAAATATACCGTATGCTTGACTACATAAAAATCAAGCTGCAATTGGCTAGAGGAAAGAATGTTATGTTTTACAGACATTTAATTAAATGGTCATGAATTTTTATTTTGTACTTTTCATTTGGTATTTCAGAGCCAACAATTTTCTTTTCCCCCCTCAGGTCCTTCCTGGGCCCTTGAAAAGCTTATAAGCTCTGGGCACTGTTCCTATCATGCCAGATGGAGAAAAATGTCCCTTACTTTTATTGTTATAAATAATTTTTCTACTCCATTTCTGTATGACACCTGAGAAAAAGTTCTCACCCTTTCTAATCTCTATTTCTACACCTGTAGGTAGAGGAACTGGTGAGCCACCCCTCCAGTCTCAACAAGCATGGGGACATCGGATAGACAGACACAGCCCCTCCTTCAGTTGTGTTTATTCCAGACAATCACACATTCCTCCCACTCCAATCATGAGTCCTGGAAGGGCTTGCTGGAGTTGGGATTCCAAGACATTCCCACAGCGACATTCGTGGGAGCGAGGGGTGATGATGAAGGAGATCTAATGCTCGGAGGGCCAAGGTGGCCCCGCGTTGAGGGGCGGAGGAGGAGGAGGCATGTCAGTTGCTCCTCGTGACCATCTGGATCCAGTCCACATATTTGCAAACATTGGTGTAGACCCCTGGGATGCCTTCTTGCCCACAAGGCTCCACGGATCCCCAGGACACCAGACCCTGAAGGACTCCCCCACACACCAGGGGGCCCCCAGAGTCACCCTGGAAGGAAGAGGGAGAAGGAGTACTGCCTGAACAAGGGAAAAGTCCTATTCCTGTTTTTTACCCCCACCCCCCAACCTATTCCTGGGCCTTGAGGACAGTGGCTCCAAGTCTGGTCATTGGAGAAAAGAGCACAGCCAGGTTTCTGAGGACAAAGGCAGTGGCTCACCAATAGGGAAGAGGGGTGTCATTCCCTGGGACCAATCCCAGGGAAGGAGGTCGAGACCCTCTATAAAAGGTAGAGAATTCTCTAAAGGACAATGGCCGGAGCTCTTCCCAATGAGCGAAAAGAACACTATCTTCAATGACCAATCCCAGGGAAGGACAGCAGGACTTCACAAGGGTAGAAGATTCTCTCAATGACAAGGCCGGGGCCCTGGCCTTGGGTCTGGGGTACCCAAAGAGGTAGGTGTGCTGAATCAGAGGGTGAGGGGTTCCACTGACCCCTTTCCTATCTCCATCCTCAAATATATCACTCTTAACCTGGGACAGCACCAGTGGAGGATGATATGGGAAAGACTTAGAGCCGCAGAGACAGCTGAGTCCCGGAGCTCTAAGTCCTGGCTAGCTCTTTGCCTTTCCCCATCCTCTCCCCTGGTCTCTTCCCTCTCTCTCTTTGTGCCCCCTGCCCCATTTTTCTTCTCTGTTCCCTCCCGCCCTCCATTCTGTCTGCCTAGCCCTCCCTCTCTCTGTCCTCCATTCTCTGGTCCTCTCTCCAACTCTCTGTCTCTCTCCCTCTGCTATTCTGTGCCTCCCCTCCTGTCTGACCCTGACCCCATCTTTCTCCCTCATCCCCCTTTACTGACCGCCATCAATTTCCCTCCTGTTCTCGGTCTCTCCCTGTTCCTTCTCAGTCTCCCACTTCCTGCCTAGGTGACCATGCATTGCCTGTGTTTGCTCACCTGACAGGCATCCTTCCCGGCGATGCCGCCTGCACACAGCATATTTTCTGTGATTCTCCCAGGGAACACAGCACGGCAGGTGGCATCAGAGACAATGGAAAGGTTGAGGCACTGGAGCAGGTCTGGAAATGGGCCTGGAGATGGAAGATGGATACTGCAGAGCCCCCAGAGCTCCCCACTTTGAGGCTACATACCTCCTCCCAAGAAAGCCCAATCCAAGTCTACACTCCAGCTCCCACCAACCTCTATTACAATCCTAAAACCTTAAATTTCAGATTTATAACTCAATTTCATAGTGACTCTTGACCCTAGATCATTGGCCCAGTCCCCTTGACCTGTGTCCTTTGACTTTCAATCTTATAACCTGATAATCCCAGCTTGACCTAATAATGTCTTTTCTCTATCTCCTGACTCCATGTCCTTGTCTTCACCTTAAGCTCCAACATCAGCTCTGCATCCTCTAAACCTTCACTTTATTGGTTTCAACTCCAAAGCGTCTTCTGATTTTAGTTTATTTAATCCCAGACTCCACGATCCCTATCCTCTGGCCCCATACCTTAAACCCTATGACTTCCAATCTCAGACATGTAATCCCTGATAGAATCCCAATTTACATCCCTAGATTCTGACCAAATCGTGCAACATTTAGATCCCATGACCTCAACTCTACAATGACCTCTAACCCCAGAGCCCCTGACCTGACACCCAGATCCTGTTTGTCTAGCCTTTTGCTCCAGTCTGATGACAACTGACATTACTCTGACTTCCAACCACATCCCTGATCCTTGACTTCTGACTCCACACCCAATCCATTAATCTCTTTGACTCCCAAGACCTCAATCCATCATGATCTATGACCCCCAAACCACGATTCTGATGTTTGACCATACATCAGGACTTTTTACCCATACTTCTTCTGAGGTGTCATGACTTTTGACCTCTAATCATCCTAGACTTATGCCCACCCTGACCCCTGGCCCTGGGGTTCCCTTACTCCATGGCTGGTTGGTGGTGCCCCAGCCTGAGACATGGCACTCAGTGCCAGTGGTTGCACAAGTGCTGGGCAGGGCCAGGGGCTGGACACTGCGGGTCAAGCGGACAGGCGTGTTAAGCCGCAGAAGCCGGAGATCATGGTCATGGCTCTGCTGGGCTCCCTGGTAGCTGGGGTGGGTCACAGAGAAGCTGCTGCGCCGGATCTGCTCTGTCCAGTCTAGCCGGCTGAGGCTGTGTTCCCCCAGGCGCACCCAGTACCTGTTGGGGGTCACAGCACCTCAGCGGATGGCAGGCAGGGAGTCCCCTGGGTACCCCCACCATGGGCCACACTCCCAAGGCCTCCTGCCCCCCTCTGCTGCTGTGCATCTCAGGGTCTGTCCTTTCCCCTTCTTGCTCTTATTCTCTAAGTCTCTCCCTTTCTGTCCCTCGGTCTTATTTCTGACATCATCTTTCCATTTCGGGTGTTTATCCCATTTCTCCTCCCAGGGCACTGCATCTGTGTCTCTTTTCAATTCTCTTAGATAGTGAGGCCCGTGAGGGTAGAGACATCTGTCTGCCTTCCTCACTGCCTGTTCCCACGACCTGGCATGGAGCATGTGTCAACACTGTTGACTGAATGACCAAGTCAATTATGAATGGCCTCTCTCTGTCCTGCTGGTGTCTGTCTCTCTCTGTCCCTGAGACTCTCTTGTCTTTTTGCATCTGAGCTCCCCTTTTACAAAAAATTCTCCAGCATCAGATCCAGCAAGCCCAATCTCTCATTTTACAAATGGCACCACTTAGGGCTAGAGAGACGCCAGATGTATTCTCTGAGGTTGCACAAAGAGTTTGAGTCAGACATGGGCCTGGGGCCAAGACTGGGCCAGTCAGGGAATGGCTGGGGCTGGTAACAGATGTCATGAGGGAAAGAAGGGGGCATGAGGGAGTGGGAGGGGGTGGGTGGACAGGTCCCAGGCCCTCCACTCACTGCACCCCACCCCAGGCCCACTGTTGAGGAAGTTCTACTACTTGTCTAACCTACTCTCTTGTAGGACCCGCTTTTTACCCGTTGGCACACTCCGTTCTCTGCCACCCTACCCCAGCACTCGCCTCCTCCGATTCCCACCCCTTTCACCCACCCCAGGAAGAGACCCAATCTGAGACTTACCTGCCACTGCAGTGAGCAGCTGTGAGGACCCACCTGCGGCCAATGAGGACCCCCCCACAGCGCAGGTTGGCACCCTCAAACAGCCCCACCTGCCAAGGCTGCGAGTTACGCACACACTCGCTACCACCAACGATCTTCTGTGTGTTTGCCTGGCTGAGCCCTAGGGATGGGGCATGGGCCAGGGAAATAAGGTCAGAGACATAAGGATTGTGGGTCAGAGAAAGGAAGAGAGAAACAGAGATAGATAGAGAGGCAGACGCACAGAAAGAGAGAGAAACAGGCAGTAGAAAGGCAGAGAGAGACCCAGTGATGTATAGAAACAGACACAGTGAAATGCCAAGAAGACACAGATGTTACCCCTCGGCCTCCCTCTGCCCCTCCTCAATACCAGGCTGAGGGCCAGAGCGGAAATGGGGAGACAGGGGGCTTTTCGTGGGGGAGAGGGGACCCACCCCAGTCCTGCCCTCTACCCCTGCCCTGGGAGAACTCACCAAGAACACACAGGAGCAAAAAAATGCTGAGCCCCATGGTGGGGCACCTCCAAGGTCTGGGGGGAAAGGCGGGGAATCTCAGAGGTTGCCCCTTCCCTGCCCCCCTACCTTTGCCTTCTTTTCTTCTCTTTCAAGGCCACAGAGGAGATGACCTACCTCTTCTCTCTACCTGTTCCCCTCATGTCACCCTATCACTGGTGACTGTCTGTCCCCTTCTCACCTTGTCTGTGTGTCTGCTGGACTCTCTGTGTGGCTATCACCAGTTCAGTCTGTCTGTTTCTCTGCTATCTTTCTCTACACCTACCTGTTACCTCCCTGCCTGTCCTTTCATCTGCCGGCCACCCTGCCAGTCAGCTTTCCCACTGTCCACCTGGCTCTTCAGTCCCCTGTCATTCTGCCCCACCTGTCCCCTCCTCTCTGTCTGCGCTGGACTGGCCGCTGACAAAGCTTTTAACTCTCTTTGTCCCAGCCCATCCAATTTCCGTGTTGAGGGAAGGGGATGAGGAAGACACAGGCAGGGCATTCTCTAATCCCACAGAAACTCTTCTCAGCTAATGACACTTAATTGAGCTTCACAGATAAATGGAAGGGGGAGGGAGGAAGGGACGCAGGGTGAGATGACCCAACCCCACTTCCTCTTCCTTCTCCCCAAACCTGCCAGCAGCCCCTGGACTGATGACTCAAAGTGATTTGGGAGTTGAGTTCTAATCCCGACTCCAATGAAGAAGTCTCAGGGAGGGTGGGGACACCTCAGACATCTGGGGCCAGTACCCACAGGGTAAGGAGGAACAGGAGGACAGACAGGCTAAGAAAGCAGGAGGGTGGAAGTGAGGAGCAGGAAGGTCAAGGGCAGACAGAGCCCCAGAAAGAGAAGAGGAGAAGGAAGAGACCTCAGAACCTGTGATTCAAGGAACAGAAGAGGGTTTCCAAATTGGTTTCCATGGAAGTCTGATTCTAATTGAATTTTTTTAAAGATGGCTGGTAAGGGGGTCTTAACCCTTGACTTGGTGTTGTCAGCACCACACTCTTCAAAGTGAGCCAACCGGCCATCCCTATATAGGATCCGAACCCGCAGCCTTAGTGCTATCAGCACCACACTGTCCCGAGTGAGCCACGGGCTGGCCCTCTAATTGAATTTTTTTAATGCACAGTCAGTCAACTCTTCTTACTTTAGAGTACCCTCCTCACCTTGACTGCTTCAAGAAGCACAGATCTCACACACGCACGCACGCACACACACGCGCACATGCGCGCACTCACACACGCACGCGCACATGCACACACACACTGCACACACACGCACGCACCCACACATGCACACACACGCATGCACATGCACGCACGCACACGCACGCACACATGCACACACGTGTACACGCACGCACATGCACGCACGCACATGCACGCACGCACACACACACCACACACGCATGCACACGCACACCACACGCACACACACACACATGCACACACACACATACATGTGTGCACGTGAGAGCACTTCAGAACGTTCATGAAAAAACAGAATGAAAAGATAATGCGAATCTTTTCATAAACTATTTGGAGACCCCTCATATATGAAGTTGATTTATCTAATTCCATGAACGTTTTTCTTTGCATTAAATAAAACCCACAGAGAGAAAGAGACCTGGGGAAGCAGAAATGGCAAAGAGAGACAGAGAATCAGGGACAAGAGAAGTCCGTGCTGGTTTATCTGTGATTTTGCTTCATCTGGGAGGAAGGGAGAGAGAAAAGGAGAGGGGAAAGAGAGAGAACAAAAGGGAATGAGACTCAGAGTGAGACACACACAAACCAAGAGAAAGGCAGCCAGAGTCTGGGAGAGTGTGAAGAGCAGAAAGAGACAGAGGAGAGGGTTCCCACTTCACTCCTGTCCTTTAGTCCTTTACTTTCTCTTTGGGTCTTGGGTCTCTGTCCCTGTCTGTTTACACAATCGCAAAACTTCAGTTTTTGGTTTGTCTTTAGAAACCACCTAATTCAACCCCTCCCTTATTTTGAATTTTTGGGGAATCAGGTTTACTGAGGTATAATTTGCATCCAATAAAATTCACTCTTCAACTTTAGTCAGGAGCTGCCTTGCTGGAATGGAGGCCCAGCATTGCCAAATACTATGACTTTTTGAGGGAAGCTGAAAATTCAGATTTATACTGGGACACTTCCTGATCTTAGAATATTTAGGGGCGGAAACCCCCAAAACTGTGGGCTTAACAGAATCCCTCTCTCTCTGTCTCTGTCTCTGTCTCTCTGTCTCTCTCTGCCTTTATCTTTCTTGGGGGTGGTGGGAGGGGGGGTAAAATTCATATAACTTAAAATTCAGCATTTTCACCAATTTAAACTCTACAATTCAGTGACTTCCACCAAATCCACATTTTCACAACGTTGTGCAACCATCACCACTAATTCCAGAACACTTTTATCACTTCCAAAAGGAACCTTGTGCCCATTAAGTCCATCAACTGACAATAAATAAAATGTGGTCTATCCATACAATGGAATATTATTGAGCCACAAAAAGCAATGAAATTATGATACTGGGTGAACCATGAAAACATCATGTGGAGGGAAGGAAGCCAGACACGAATAACATATTATGATTCATTTATATGAACTGTGCAGAATATGGAAATCCATAGAGACAGAAAGCAGATTCATGGTTGTCTAGGGCTGCAGGGAGGGCAGAATAGTGGCTGCTTAGTAGCTCTCTTTTGACCCACCGATTGCCAGTTTGTGGCTTCTGGATAATACTACCCACTTCTGTTTGCAGCTGGAGTGAAGCCCAAAGAAGCCTGGTCCGGCCTTTAGCCACATACCTCCTGCTTTTAGAGAAAGTTCTGAGCACCTCTTGCCTCTTCCCCCAGGGAGTCTCCAGAGCTTTCTAGTCCCTGCGCCTCACATCCTTACTCTTGGGCATCATCAAAAGTCCATTCTCTAGAGAGAACTCAGCCACTCTGACACATAGGGTGAGGCCCCTGAATATGGAAATCCTCATAGATATTGAAACTGAGGCACAGCTAGGTGAAGTCACTCCCCCAAGTCACCCAGCTGATAAGTGGAAGAACAAGAGGTTGAGCCACACAGCCTGTATTCTTAATCATTATCCAAATATACGAACAAATAAAAGAATAGGAAGTACTTTCGTGAATAGGTGAATGGATGAATGTTTCTACAGGTTTTAAAAAAAAAGAAGATAGCTTTTGGAATCATGCAGTCCTGGGTTGAAACCTTAGCTCATCCCATGATTCACTGGAACCATCAGGCTACTCTCTTTTCCTGACCTCAGTTTGCCCATCTGAATAACGGAGCCAGGAGGAGGCTAAATGTCTGCACATTGCTTCCTCAGGGAACATCAAACAAGGCAACTGAAGATGCATGGAAATATAGGGGAGTTAAATGCACACACCATCAAAATGGCCCTTACCAATTTCTGTATCAAGAAGCAATTTGCAAAGCTGACTTAGGTGACACCATCTTTTTTCTCAGATGTGAAGAAATATCTGCTGATTACTTTTCTTTGTTCTGCCTCCATCTTTATGCCTCTCTCTCTTTCCTTCCATCTTTCCTTCTCTCATTCTATTTCTCTGTCTGTCTCATTCATTCATTCATACATTCACTTGTTTATTCATTCTTGTTTGGGTGTCCAGAGACTTGCATGTTTCTCAATCCAGTGGTCATTCCTCTGATCTCATCTTACTCAGCCTCTTGGCAGCATTTGACATGGTCAGACACTCCCTCCTTCTTGAAACTTGCTCTTCTCCCAGCTTCTGGGGCACCAGACAATTCTGATTTTCTTCCTCCTTTTTAGGCTCTCACTCCAGGCCTCTGTCATGAATGGTCTTCTGCTCCCCTCTCTGCCCCTCCCCCAACCAATGTCTTTAAAAACCAGGGAGTCGCCAGGGCCTTGTCCTAAGCTGTGTTTTCCTCACTCCACAAGTTCTCTCTAAGTGACTACATATACCTTGATGGTTTCACCTGTTGTCTGAGGCAGGATGTTTCTATAGGTTTGCTGAAATGACTGACAATAGATAAATTGAAAGGAGAAAAAGGCATACAAATTTATTAATGTGTATATGGATACAGGAGTCCCACAAATATGAGACTCAAAGAAGGGCCAGATGGTTAAGGCTTAAACACTCTCTTTGTATGGGAGAGGAAGGTGGGGGAGGGTGGGGGAGATGCTGTAGACAATTTTAGAGTGATAGTAAATAATTTTCAGGAGGAATGAATAAGCCCAGAAGACCAGACAATGGTTTGTAAATAATTAATTCTCTTTGGAAACTAAATGGGGCAAGTTATGGAAGGTAAGGGGTGGAAATTCACTGTGAACAAAGGTTGTCTTCTTATATAGATAAAGTCTCCCAGGTAATCTCTGACCTTCAGAAGAACAGATGAAAAGTGTATCTGAGTGTGGTGACAACTTTCAGTTTCTTTTCCTCAGGATGATGTCAGACCTGTATTTCTGGAGGAAGTTGAATGCAGTTAGAATCTTGCCTGAGTCGGGGCTCAGAACATGGTACCCTAAAGAATGCAGCTTTGGCATTCTGAGTACTTTGAACTGAAGGAGACTGGAAGGGCCTTAGAAGCAAGAAGTTCTCTCCGACCTTTTCCTCTCCTCCATTCTCCTTCCCCCATCTCTTCCCTGAAGCAGGTCATAGAAATTAGGATTCCTCTTCCCCAAAGCAAGCCATAAAACCTAGAAATGTTACTCTCTGGCCTTCTCCCTTCTCCCCTGAAGACCCTCATGTGACAGGTATCCTGCCCTATACCCAGAGGAAGGAATGCTACACGGACTGAGAAGAATAGCTGAGTCCCCCTCGGTTTATTACCATTAGATCAAGATCCTTTTTGCCCAGTCACATTTTCACATGGCTTTCCATTCTTCATTGAACCAAAGTATAAAAATAGTTTCCTGGGCCGGCCCGGTGGCTCACTCGGGAGAGTGCGGTGCTGATAACACCAAGGCCCCGGGTTCGGATCCCATATAGGGATGGCCGGTTCGCTCACTGGCTGAGCCTGGTGCTG